ATGGGAGTGGGTGTGGGGCTGGGTGTGGGTTGGCTTTGGGTTGGGTTTTGGGTTGGTGTGGGGCGGGGTTGGTTCTTGCTTCAATGGTTCTCAATGTTCCGCAGTCCCTTCCTATCCCTTCCCCTTCCCCTCCTCCCCCCGCCCCCCCCACCCTTTTCTGTCCTTGTTTCACATTTCATGCACTCACCTTTCCGCCGCCTTTTGTGCACTCAGTCTCTGGTGCCTTTCATGCAGCCAAATGCATGGGCTTTGTTGACTGCATTTTCACTGCCGCACCCCCTTTTATCTTGGCCGCAGAAAAAAAGGACCTTGCAACAGGAGTGTGATGGAGTGTGAAGTGCAAGAGTGTGAAGTGCTGCCAGAGGGGGTGATGAGCTGCATGATGCGAGCAGTGTGGTGTTCAGTCCAATGTATTCATAAGCTGTATACAGTAAGTGTATTAATTTTACCAAATTACTGTACACCCTGGTTTGGGACAAGATGAATGTACCGTACGTTATTGAAGAGTATAGTAACAAATAAACAAAATCATACTGTTTGAGGAGCACGGATGCGTACAGAAGAATATTCTATCACATGTACTTGACGACCATATGGTATACTTTCGAGCATTACGTTCCCGTATGGAATTGGAGGATACTAAAAACGTACGACAAATTCTACGTTATAGTAGCCCTAATCACACCTACCATACGCATGCTGACCTGTATGTAAGTGGCATGTTTTAGGTAGCCTAAACGGGTACCAATTCTTGCAATGAGTGGCGTCCTTAGCTGCCAAAGACTCACTGCATGGGGGAGGAGGGGGGAGAAAACACACAGATGCACATTAAGAGTAATACATGAATGCGACCGAGTATGAAGGAGGGAAACCAACAACAGTCGATGAGCATGATATCAGATTGAAACCATCAAGGCCGTACACTCACCGGTGGGCGATGCAGTGGCAAGAAACCGGGTGCTGAATCTCCGCCCCGCAGTCGCACGACGACGCCCTTGTGCTCACCTACCATGACAAATGCTCCGCGTTGCTGATTCCGACTATCTTCTCCATGTCGATGCCAACGGAACGCATGTACGTCTCCAGGACTTCAGTAAGGCTGGTCTCGCCACACTTCTGCAGGGTCAGCAGCATTAGGAACTATGTCCACATGAAGCCATCCTTGATGTACATCACATAGACGATTAGATGCTTCCCTCTGACCTGGTCCGTGCTCTCATCAATTGCCATGCCGAGATATGGGCTGTTGGAGATGAAGTCTCGACCAATTCGTTGAAGCTGTACCTGCAAAGAAAAGGCAAGGCACAAAAAGCAGTAGTCGAAGGTGATTGAACAGCGCAATGAAGAGAATTACGCATGCGCAAAGCAGAAACATGGCTAAGCACTACAGTGAGAAGCAGAGCATACATGGCAAGAGAAGAAGGTAAAGCACCAACTCGGAGAAGTACGCGCCCTTCTGGTCCAGAGAAAGGTGCGGCGTTTCCAGCAATGCCATAAATTTGATGAATCCCACGTATGATGTTGTCGGATCCTCAGATTGGCACGTGTAGACTGCGGTCTTCATGGCCGTGATTAGATGGAGAGTGCTCTTGTTGAGGCCCTCGAACTCGTTCAGAAGAGCCTGCCACAGCATCTTCGACTTCTTCGCCTTCATCAAGAGGTATGCGTCGCGATGGGCGTTGGAGCGCTGGTGTGTCTTAATTCTGTTTTTCTGCATGTCACGCCCCTTGCTGCCGTCTTTGCTGTACTTTGTGTCTGTGCCCACAACTCCGTGCTGGATGCAAGTGCCAGCACAAAACAGGGAAACCATTGTCAGCTCAATCCAAAACAAGCCAAGGAAACCAACTCTCCCAGCGAGACTTGAATCAGCGATGAGCTTTGGCAAACGCAGCATCGGGATCTTTCAAATTCTCAGACTCGGGGGTGTCAAAATCCTCGTCTTCATCATTGCCGGCGACGACATCTGTTCCTCGACCAGATCCCCGTCCAAAGTGCGAGCGAGGGGAGACGCTGCTGCTGCCACTTCTGGGGGAGGCTTTCAGCTTTCCGCTTAGCAGAAGACGATGTCAAGCCAACGGCGGGTGGGGATGGAGCAGGAGTGCCCCCGGTGGTGGAAATGGGGATTGCTGTGGCGGATGGCAGACTACACTCTGGTCCTTTCTCTTCGGGAGACGACCCAGCGCAAGGGGACATCCGAGGTGGGCACGGCAGAGCAGCAGTAAACGGTGAGCGACGAAGGAAACTAAGCGCAGATAGCAGATGGGACAGCATGCATTTCCGCATACCATCCTCCTCCTCCTCGTCGCCATCGGCAAAAGGCGTGGCTGTCTGTCTAGTCATGAGGAAAAAAAAGAAAAAAAAAAAAAAAAAAAAAAAAAAGGGGGGGGGGGGGGGGGGGGGGGGGGGGGGGGGGGGGGGGTGGGGGGGCGAAGCAGTGGAGATACAATCGCAAAGAAATGTGCATCTCCTAGGGACAAGGCCACACTGAAGCTCTGCAAGAAAAAAACAGGTGATTGTGAAAACTTGCTTAGGTCCTCTTGAAAGGCAGCTTGCTTTATTTCATATGGGTTGCATATATTGGTTCTCGTCCAATGAACTAGTAAACACATAACTAGGGTGGGTGGGAGGGGAAAATCAAAAGAGTTGAACTAGAAATTAAGAACGTGGGTGAGGCCGAGGGGCCTCACGTTCCCCTTTTGAATGCAAAAGAGGGTTAGGTGCGCTTCGCCGCTGCCTTTGCGGCGTTGGCCCTTGCTACACTATCACAATACACATTTTTAGAAAGCATTACACGCTTTCAAAAAAATACATATTGTGAACGCTTGGTTAGGTCCTCTTGAAAGGAAGCGTGCTTCATTTTATATGGGTCTTCTGAGCCATGTGGAGGACGGGTCGGCATTGCCGCTCGATGGACAGCTGGTGGTTGTTGGGTGATGGGGCTGCGGATGCGTCTTGAAGCTGCGTGGAGGCTGCACGAAGGTGGTCTTGTGCGATAGTGACGTAGAGCTCCGACACCCATACACGGGGTGCGAGCTGGAGTAGTGGCCACCATGATGCACCGGGCGATTCGGGGATGACCAATGTTAGCTCAGCATGTGTGCGTTGGGCATGTTGCAAGGTGGCCGGAATGAGGTGGGGTGGAGGAAATGCAAAGCCGTGCTCGTGCTGCCAATTGAGTGAGAAAGCGCCAATTGCTGTTGCCTCTGGATGGGGGACCCTGAAACAGAACCGCTTCAGCTGGGCATTGCGTACATTGGCAAAAAGATCGATGGAGTGAGGTCCAATTCGACGATCCAAGAGCCGGAACCAGGGGGTTTGAAGTGAGTAGTCGTCGTAGTCGTGGACATTCGAGAGCTCATCCGCGTGGGCATTCAATTCTCTCGGAATCCATTCGACAGCAAGTCACGTCTGGTTCTCCAAGCACAGTCTGATGATTGCTTGACATAGCAGCATGAGTGAGGGGTGGTGTGAGCCGCCCTTGCGAAGGATGAACACCACCCCTTGGTTGTCAACGCGAACCAGCACATGATGCTTGACGAGGTGGGCGGTGAATGTCCGGAGTGCCCAAAGGACGCCTTCGAGTTCCCTTCGAGTGCTGGAGGTGGGACCAAGCTCTACTGGCATGCGATCGCTGGCCTCGATGTGCGCGCCAGGGAGTCAAGTGAGGGTGGCACCCCAGCTGTGGGCGCTTGCATCAACGTGGATGACAGCGTCGTATTGGTGACTAAGATGGAATGTGGCCGAACTGCGAAAGCCAGAAGCGTAGCTCTGTTAACGCGGCCGGGGGTAGTTGGGCTTTGTCATGCCAAGACATGGCATCGGCGATGAGTCGCAGGAGCTCATGACTGAAGGCTCGTGCTGTGGCGCCCAATGCTAGGGACATGGAGGCCAACATGCCGGTGACTCGCGCAAGGGAGCGTATGGGGACTCGTCATCCTGCTTGGCCATGGGTGATGATGTCGGTGAGTGTGACCAGGAGCTGAGCTCGTCGTTCATGACCGATGGAGAACGTGCCACGAGCTGCGTGGACCTCCAGGCCGAGGAAGTGGATCAGTCGCGTGGGGTGGAGATGCGACCCTTTTCTATTGATAACAAAACCAGCCGCCTTTAGGTCTTGGGTAACTGCGGCGCATGCTGAACGCGCGTGCGTTTGAGCGTAGCAAAGGAATAGAAGGCCGTCGCCGTACGGGACGACACATAGGCCACTAGCCCTCCACCGCTTTGCCAACTATTTGATAAGCTGGGTGAAAACTAACGGAGCCGTGGCGAGACCAAACGGCAGCGAGCGGAAGGAGTAGTATGCGCTCTCAAATTGGAAGCCCAAATACTTCCAGCAAGAGGGGTGCATCTCGACGTGGTGATAGCCGGACTTCACGTCGATGGAGAACATCGAGTCGCCGGGACGGTTGAGTTCGGCTACCCGGTTCAAGCCTTCATACTTGAACTTTGGAATGTCGAGGTGGGCGTTGACTTTGCGAAGGTTGAGAATAAGGCAGCATTTGTTGCGCTACTCGACGATGTTCGGAGGACTAATGCATGTTAGCGTGTCTCGTGTAGAGACTGGCACGGCGGAGCCAGTGGCAACATGTTCTTGAATTGCATTGCCAATGAAGTCGAGATGCGTGTGAACGCCAGCATGGTTCTTATCTTCAAAGGAGGGCAGGCGTGTGTGCTTCCAGGGCAGCCAATACCCTTTGGCGATTATAGATATGATGAAACTGCTATCACACCACGAGCACCACCAATACAGGACCTTGCTCAGTCGGCTTCGCATGATCGTGACGTCCTGTCCGTGATGGCGTACTCGTAGGGGTTGTGTCGGTCGCATAGCCATCCGTTTTTGGGTCCTGCCAAGTTTGGGGTCGAGAGGGGAGATGGGCATTGCAATGAGGTGCTGGTGCCCAATCCGGCAGCCCATGATCGTTTATTGACTACCACATGGCTGGGCCAACACCTTATCTAAGGAGGCACTTCCGCGTGTCCTTCCCAATGTGCGTGCTCTCCTCTTTATGCTTTTTTTCTCCCCTCTATCTTACCCCCACCCTCTCTCTCTCTCTTTCACCCTCTCTCTCTTTCTCTCTCTCTCCTCTCTCTCTCTCTCTCTCTCTCTCTCTCTCTCTCTCTCTCTCTCTCTCTCTCTCTCTCTCTCTCTCTCTCTCTCTTCTCTCTCTCTCTCTCTCTCTCTCTCTCTCTCTCTCTCTCTCTCTCTCTCTCTCTCTCTCTCTCTCTCTCTCTCTCTCTCTCTCTCTCTCTCTCTCTCTCTCTCTCTCTCTCTCTCTCTCTCTCTCTCTCTCTCTTCTCTCTCTCTCTCTCTCTCTCTCTCTCTCTCTCTCTCTCTCTCTCTCTCTCTCTCTCTCTCTCTCTCTCTCTCTCTCTCTCTCTCTCTCTCTCTCTCTCTCTCTCTCTCTCTCTCTCTCTCTCTCTCTCTCTCTCTCTCTCTCTCCTCTCTCTCTCTCTCTCTCTCTCTCTCTCTCTCTCTCTCTCTCTCTCTCTCTCTCTCTCTCTCTCTCTCTCTCTCTCTCTCTCTCTCTCTCTCTCTCTCTCTCTCTCTCTCTCTCTCTCTCTCTCTCTCTCTCTCTCTCTCTCTCTCTCTCTCTCTCTCTCTCTCTCTCTCTCTCTCTCTCTCTCTCTCTCTCTCTCTCTCTCTCTCCTCTCTCTCTCTCTCTTCTCTCTCTCTCTCTCTCTCTCTCTCTCTCTCTCTCTCTCTCTCTCTCTCTCTCTCTCTCTCTCTCTCTCTCTCTCTCTTCTTTCGCAGCTCCTTCTTTCTTGCCATCATGCTCTTGTGCCGTGTCCTTGGTTGGCTTGATCGTGGCTGCCGTTTTCTTGGGTGCCATACCGTGGTATGTTTGTGGTTCCCGCTCTCTCGTACTCTCTCTCCTTTTTCCCTTTCCTTTTTTATCGTCCTTACATGCATTATGGTGACTGCTCAATTTGTTCTCATGTGGCTTGGCTTTACAGCCCCCTTGTCAAGCGTACTTGGGATTTTTTATTTCTATTTTTCAACTAGAAATCCACTTGCCGTGGCGACACACAAGAACAATTACATGATTCTACCATGGTCCTAGGCACATGGCCTACACATCCCCTAGGGCAGCCCTAGCCCGCTAGGTTTCCTTGCCTTGCTCGAAGGCTGGCCACCGGCCAAGCACCCATCGGTGCGGCCCCATATGCCACTTGCATATGGGCAAAGGGCGCCGCCCTTGAAGAAATAACGCTCACACGACCTGTGAGGGGCCTTGCGCACCACGCCCGTCGACGGGGCATGCGTTTGCCATGTGCCCCGGCTGGCCGCAGCTGAAACTTATGCCCTTGAAATGCGGCTGCGAGCATGTGAAGGGGGGAGAGCCCTTGATGTTCATTTCCCTGTCACAACCACGGTGGGCCGCTTCGAAGCCGGCTTCGTCCGCCACTTGAAGCACCTCGAAACAGTTGTTGATAAGCATTTCGATTTGCTTGACGATGTTGAGCGCGCCGACGACGTCGTCGTGCTGCAGCTTGTAATTGATGTGTTTGAGGTGTGCTTTGGATGTCAGTGAATACCTCTGCCTGATCGCGTACGCCTTCGCGCATGAAGGTGGTTGGGGCGGGCGTAGGGGCGAGGGGGGGAAAGGGGGTACGGGAGCAATAATGCGGTGGTGAGCAATGTTTACCGAAGCCTCACCATCTTCATTGTCGGAGTCGTCGCTGTTTTCGATGTCAATGGCGGGCGTCGGGAGCGTCTCTAGGGGCTGGAAGTCGATGCGCGGAGCCTTTGAGGCACGAGGAGGCATCACCATTTCCTTTTTCTTGGCCAAATGAGTCGTAGCAGCGTTTGTATTGTCGGAAAAAGTGGCGAGCGTAACAGGCGCCTGCTGCTGTAACAGCATGAAAAGTGCCAGGAGCTGTTGCGCATTCAAAGCGGAATAGCGGCGGGTGGGGCGAGCTCCTCAGTAGGCGTGTGCTGAATGGTGGGGCCCGCCTGGGCAGCGGGCGGCGCGGCGTGGCTCGGCGTGTGGACCTCGTTTGACTGCATGCACAGCTGCTTGGCAGCCGCGCGTACTTCTTCGGGGATGGCATGAGTTGCGCCCAGCAGAATGTCGACACCCGAAGTCCCCTTGCCAAAATTGTCCTCAGCAGGACGTTTTTGACGACGGTCGGTTACCCGGTCTGAAGTTCCGGGATCGCCGATATTTGCGGAGGCGGGCTGGTTGTTCACCTCACAAGTTGGCGCGGAATTGGCGGGAGCCATTACCGCTAGGTTATGCTGCAAAATGTTAGTTAATAATGTCGATGGTGTGACCGACCTTTCGCCTGGTTGGACGAGACAAAAAAAAATAGGAACTCAAATGAGGGAAACTCATATGAGTTGAACTAGAAATGAAGAACATGGGTGAGGCCAAGGGGCCTCACGTTCCTCTTTTGAATGCAAAAGAGGGTTAGGTGCGCTTCACCGCTGCCTTTGCCGCATTGGCCCTTGCTACACCATTACAATACACATTTTTAGAAAGCGTTACATGCTTTCAAAAAAATACATAACAAGAAGGGGTCTTGAATAAGGGAGGAGGGGGTCGTTGACAGCTGTGTTCCCAACTCCCAGCCAATCAACGACTTTACCTGCACATCAGGCAAGCCGAGGACCTTCTGCTGCTGCACTGCCCATGCACGCTGCGGTATGTGCGGCTAACCATCTTGTCTTTTCTCAGAGAGCCAAAGAATTTGACACGCACGTGCCGTCAAGCCGACGCGCGTTAGCGCAAAGCAGTAATAGCACTGATTGCGGTGTGACTGGGGGAAATTTTGCCCCTAAACGGGGGATCTCCTTTGTAATCACTTCAATGAACTTCTATACAACACTTTTTTGCATCAGGGTCCCAACGCTTTACCTCTTTGAAAAAGCAGGGTCCTCTACAAGAATAGTTTTTCTCATAAGGGTTTGAAACTAAACCACAAGGGTCCAACTCCTACCCCAGTCTTATAGTAAGGGACGTAAGAGTATTCTATCCTGATATCCAGAGGCCTGCTGGCAAAGTTAAGGGTATAATACAGTATATATGTGAGACTTGTAGAAAATTGCACCCCGAGGGCGAAATTGGGGATAGGGCAGAAAACAAATGGGAGGCAGGCAAATAAGAATGGTTGGGGCGGGTGCAGGGCCTCAGATTGAATTTTTAGTTACTCGTCAAATCCAAGTTCCCTAACAAAACCACCCATTGAAGTCCGTTTTCGGCCAGAGTCGTACTCGTCAAAGTCTGTTTGTCAGCTAAAATCCCTCAAAACCTGCACTTACAGCCCGTTTTTGAACCAAAATTGAACCGTTAACCCCTAAGGTTCCGAGATAACGGAATCCATAAAAAGGAAGTTCCGAGTAAAATAGATCCATTAAAGTATAAAATTCCGGGTACTTACCTACCGAACATAGGCCCTGGGAAGGAGGGGAATCAGTACACACTAGGTGGCAAACACTGTGAGGGGCCAATGAGCGCCATCACACACACAGCCCCCAGCATGTATCAGCAAAAAAACTTGGAGAAGTACAAATCGGCGTCCTCACACCGTCTCCAGCACTAACCAGGAGGTGAAATTGGTGAAGGGCCTGTGGGCGCCCTCACACTGCACGAGCATGCACCGGGGGCTGATTTTTGCTAAGGGCCAATTGGTGCACTCACACAGCTTCCAGTACACTGCAGGTGCTGATTTTTGTGAAGGGCCAGTTAGCACCCTCACACAGCCTCCAGCACGCATTGGGCGCTGGATTTCGGCAATGATCAGCGCCGTAGACCTTGGAAGTTTTGTGTTTCAGGGTAATTCCCTTGCTGCCCTGATTCATCAGGGTCGGAGGGCTGCGAATCCTGATTTTTGAAGGGTAAAAAAAAGCTACGCTTAATGAATCAGGGTTACAAAAGCTTGACATGTTGGATAAGGGAAAGCAGGCAGTGTTTGTATAGGGGGGCAACGAAGGGGGAGAATGTATTTGCCCCGGAAAGGGGAGAGGAGATATGTGAGAGTGGATGGATAGGAAAGAGTAAGGGGGAAGGAGAGAGCAAGGGGACAGGAGAGAGGGGAGGTGTCACATGATCGAAATGGTCGAGAGAAAGTTCCACTATCGATCGAAACAAGGAGCTTTTATACTTCCAAGGTACATCTGGTAACCATGTTTAACCTATCCAAAGGGGAATAGACCCTTCTAGATCATAGAATCACCCTGTGTATAGCCACCCGAGGCTATTGGCTTTCATGGATTATGGCAATATTACACTAGATAGCGTTTGCAAGTACATCCAGAGCCAAGTTGTTGATATAACTATAATAAAGGATAAACCGAAACATAATGGAAAACGAGAAAAGGAAAATCATAAAATGAGAAATAAGTGTAACGGGGTTGTACTCTCACACTCCCCACCTGCAAAGCGTGTGGTAGTAGAAGTAACACCCTGCTTGGTAAAGTAGTCGCGAAGAGTACGACGGGCGTTTCCCATGTCCGATTCATAGCCCCAGCTATTCTTAGAAGGATCATCACTTGAGAAGCTTTAAGGCGCCATGCCTACGGCGACGGTGGACAAGCACGGACTCGACCTTGCACAGACTCGAACTCCTGGACAAGTAGGTGTAAGTCCCATCTAGAGACGTTGTCTTTGCAGGCTGCTCGAAGGAGATGCTCTACAATTTGGTTGAGGCGCTTGGCTTGGCCGTCTGTCTGTGGATGATATGTGGATGACATGGCGAGTTTGGACCAAAGCAGAGGCATCAATTCCTTCCAAAACTTGCTGATAAACTTAGGATCTTGGTCGCAGATGAGTGTGGTTGGAATGCCATGCTGTGAAATGATGTGGCGAACGAAATGTTGTGATCTCTCATCGGTGCGTGCTGTCATGTGTGTCGGGATGAAGTGTCCCATTTTTTAGAATTTGTCGATGACGACAAGGATTGCGTAATGACCACTACTGGTGGACGGTAACCAGGTGATGAAGTCCAGGCTAACAAATTGACAAGGCTGTTCTGGGATAGGAAGAAGCTATGATAGTTCTACTTTCTTTTGTTTACTGCTCTTCTTCCGCTGACATGTGTCGCACGAAGTGACAAACTTCTGGATGTCATCTACCATATAGTGCTTTGCAATACCGGTGAGCATCTTGTTGCTACCAGAGTGTCCAGCATAAAGGGCATTGCGTATTCTTTGTGGGTTAAAATGGTCTCCTTGAGCGCTCACCATGTATCATAGGAATCGGATAGTTTGGCGTAGAAGCGTTCCCATCGAATATTTCCGAAGACGCGTTGTAAGTGTTTGACGTGCTGCTTCATATCGCGTGAGTAGATGAGAATGTTGTCCAGATACACCACAACCCACTCATCCAATTGTGGGTGTAAAATATGGTTCATTTCGGCTGAAAAGGTTGCTGGTGCGTTGGTGAGCTCAAACGACATTACCAAATACTCGTACGATCCATACCACAAATCCAGTTTGGAGAAAAGTGTATTTCCCCAAAGCTCGTCAAGCAGATCATCAATCCGTGGAATAGGATATTTGTTTTTTATTGTCTGCTTACTGAGAGCTCAGTAGTCAATGCACATGCGCATGCTTTTGTATGGCTTTGGTGTGAAGCCTACTAGGGCACCGTACTATGAGGTGGAGGGTTGGATGAGTCCTTTTTCGGGGAGGTACTTCTTTTTTTCTTCATATCTTCATATCGGCTAGCTCTGTTGGACATAGTCGGTATGGTGCTCGGAAGGTCGGCTTCGAACCTGGTACTTCCACGATCTCGTATTGATATGTTCCATGTGGCGGTAGCTCGTTGGGAACTCCTTCAATAATTCTTTGATGTCTTCTGGAGGTTTCAAGGTCCTCATTTTGTCGACTTCTTCATCCGTGTCTATTTCCAAGAACCAGGTGTCGGTTCCTTTCACGCCCTTTTTTTAATCTGGTGAGTGTCTCCATTGGATATCTCCTGTGTCATTCCATTCTA